CCCCTCAGGCCCCTCCGTGCCTCAGTTTCCCCCTCCCGGGGTCCGGGCGCGCTCCCCTCCCCGCTCCGTATTTTTAGGGATAACTGAAAAGGAATTTATTTGGGAAGATCTTTCCTGCAGGGTCAGGAGAAGGTGCTTGTTGGAAAAAAGGGTTAAAATGAGGGAAGATGTAAAGGGATTGATGGGAACGCGGAGTAAAATACTCCGGTTCTGGGGTACCGAAGGTGCGAGGCAAAGAGCGGGGAGGAGGGAAGGAGTTAAATCACCTGCTCTGCGGGGCCGGGATGAGGATTAAAAGGAGGGAATACCTGAAGGGAATGCTGGGAACACGGAGTGTTTCATCGCCCGGGGTTTGTGCCGAGCGCTCGGGAAGCGGGAGGATCCCGGGGGACTGGGCTCTGAGCCCCCAGCCCGGGTCCTGCCCCCGGGAGCGCCCCGGGCTCGGGGTCCGGTCCGGGCTCGGGAATCGACTTCCCCGGGCGAGTCCCAGCGAGAGCTTTTGGGTGGTTGTTAATACAAAGAACAAGGAGCTGTTTGGGTGCCGGGGTGACCGTGGGCTGTGTTGGGGAGAATCCCGAGGAAAGGACTCCGGAAGGATTCCGGAGTTTCCTGAGTGCACCATCCACGTGTTTGCCGGGATCGTGGAAAGACAAACCAAGTTTCTTTTCACGGAAGGGGCAGAGATGAGGCGTGAGCTCCCTCTGCGGAACCAGGACGGGGTGGTAGATTTGGGATTACACGGGGCTGTTGTGTAATGCAGAAAGGAGATTAGCTGGGATTGGGATGAGAGGAAAACACCCCGGGATGTTCCAGGAACGTCCCCCAGCCCAGCTCTGCTCCATTTCCAGGTACAGCCCTGAACTTGGCACAGGGCTGTTTGTTTTCCCGGTTGTGAGTCAAATATCACAACCCAAAAGGAGCAAAGAACAATCGGGGATTGTCTCAGGAGCACTAAAATAGTATTTTGAGTGTCAGGATCGTGGTGATGAATGAAGCTGTCAGGCTCTCGCTGAGTTACTCGGTGCTATTTTCAGGCAGGGGGTTGCTGGGCCTGTCTGGCGTCAGAGTTTGGATCACTGTGCACCAGAAAGTCCTGCTTTTTTTCCTCTCTGATGACCAAAGAGTTCAGAAAATAGAACGGGTGCAGCTGGAGGAGCAAAAATAGCTTTACCTGCCTGTAGTGGAACGCTGTGCCCGAGGAGGGCACGGGGAGGGGCAGCAGCACAGCAATTTCAGTGGATCCTGTGACCCAGGAATCCTTCCCAGGCCAGGGGGCTGCAGCACCTTCCTTCCCTTTTCCAAGAGACTTTCTCCAGCGAGCTGTGGCTGGAGGTGGAGGCACAATTCCCTGCCCTGGGAGCAAGGGGGGACTGATGGTGCTCGGCACGAGGGACTGAGGAGACTGAAAGTAGGTGCAGACTGAGCTTTCCAGGCATTCCTGGGCTCTGATGCCTGGGGTTATAATTCCTTTGAATCCCTCTCCCCCCCTTGTACAATGCCCCTTGCATTGAAGGAGCACTGAGCTGTTCTGTGGTGCTGCAGCCCCTGGGAGTGTTCCTGCTCACATCCCAGGTACCCAGACCAGGGAGGAACAGGGAGTGAAAGGTGCTTGGCTTGGAGGGAATCTTTCAATCCCTGCCTTCAGGTGAAGACACAGCCCCGGTGGCTCAGAACAGTTGTGGCCTTTTGGCATAACTGGGCTCCCCTGGGAAAAAATGAACTTCTCCTTCCAGGAAAAGAGTGGTTTTAGCTGGAGTGAGAGCACGGTGGGGAGGGGAGCAGCAGTGCAGTTCCTTGGGAAAATCTGAATTAATCTTGTGTGGAGCGTTGTGAGGAAGGGATAACAGTGGGTTTGTTTCCCAAAGACAATGTCCGAGTCAGACTGTGGGACTTGCTGCCTCACAGAGGGGTTTGGGGATCGTTTCTGTGTCGGGAAGAAAGAGCAGAGTGATTTCCTGAGCCTGGCTTCCTAATGGTGGTTATTAGAAAGGATAATATTTATTGTGTGATGCTGGAGATGCCAAGCGCTCCCTCTCGGGGCTGGGAGCCCTGGAAGTTGGTGTGTGCAGCCTTTCCTGGTGTTCCTGCCGTGACCCAGAGCCTGTGCAAAGCCAATCCCATGGAGATGTGTCACCTTACAGGTGCTGTGTCCCTCCTGCCTTCCCAGGCCACTTCCCAAGCCCCGAAGATCTGGGAGTGCAGAGTGTTTAACCGTGAAAACTGGGCTGTGTTGTGGTGGTGAGTGGCTGCTCCAGGAGGGGGAATCTCCAAGGGCTGTGTCGTGGTGGTCCCAGGCTGCTCCAAGGGCTTCCCAGGTGGACTTTGTCTGAAAAAGGCAGAGCTGGAGCTGGGCAGAACCATCCCGGTGCTGGCTGAACACATCAGCCCCCCTGCCCTGGGGTTGTTCAAACCCACGGGTCATTCCAGTCCCCCTTTGAGGAGCAGCAAGGCCACGTAAGGAGGATTAAGATAAAATTCAAACCTGACTCTCAGAGGGCACTGAGGGATACAGAGATTGTTCTGGGAGCTTCCTCCAGGACAATCACCCTCGGTTCCCTCTTCCTCCCTGTTTTGGGCTGCTGGGTGCCAGCAGGAACACTTCAAGAAGGTATTGGAGGAAAGAACAGAGGGGAAAACTTCGGCTGGCCTCCCCAAAACCAGAGTGTTCAGCATCTCTGGGCTCTTGGGGAGCAACTGGTGGTGGTGACAGGCCACGAAAGGGAAGAGCAGCTTTGCGAGCCGTCGTTGCAGGGAGGTATTTCTGTCTTGTGTGCTCAAAGTACGGGCTAAAAAAAACCTTCCAGGCTTCAGGAGGCGTCTCCTGAGCCACGGAACGTCGGGGGGGCTTTGCAGTCCTCAGGGGGAGCGAGCAGTGGGTGTGGGTGAGGGTGTGGGACACCGAGGATGGGGAAGAGCAGTCATGCTGAGATCCTGCAGCGGGCAGGGAATGGTTGGGCAGCCCCTGCCAGGGCGTGTGGAGCAGCCGGTGCTGCTTGGCCACGGGCACTTCCTTGGCAGGGGCAGTTGGCTCTTTCTAGGATAAGGTGTCAGGGCTGCTTCTGGCTGCACTCGTGGATCCAGTGAGATTTGATTTCTGTGCCAAAAAGCTGCTCAAGTAGGTGAGGCTGAAAAAACCCAGAGCCTCAGAAGGTGCCAGTCTGTGATGGATAAAAATGTGGTTAAATAAACCCACTCAGAGCAGCAGTAACACCCCCAGAAAGGGGTCTGGGTGTGCTGAGAGGGGCTGGGGGTCTCAGTCACCACTGCAGGGGCAGTGACTGTGCAGGTTAAAGCTGTAAATGGCACAGGGAGGGAAGGGCTGCACGGATGGCCGGTGACTGAAGAGGGACAAAGGGGTTTGAGGAATTCAGTGTGGCCTGAAGATGGGCTGCAGGTCACAAGGGCGTGGTGAGGGTTGGGGTTCCAGCAGAACCAGCCAGCTGCAGGCACCAGGATAACTGAGGAGGTGTAATCCCTCGTGGAAGGAACCTGCTGACCTCCTGTGGGGAGGGGAGGAGGGGATGTGGGAGTGTGGAGTGTGAAAGTTGGGCAGGAAGCTGCAGGATGTGAGGTGATGTTTCTGGCCCAGCAGTGATGAGGTGTCACGGGGACACCCCTCGGGTGGGTCTGGGGTGACACTGGTGGAGTGACCCAGGCAAGTGCAGAGAGTGTGAATCAGCCCAGCCTGTGCAGAGTGTGAGGGGGGATGTCGTGTGTCCTGGGGAGATTGAGGGGACGCTCCAGGAATGTACTGGTACAAGGAGCGTCCTGGTTTGTGTCACCAGGTGTGACACAGGCCCAGGGCAGTGCCCACCCCTGTGCTGGCACTGCTGAGGCACCTCCAGCCCTGGGGGCAGTTCTGGGCCCCTCACAACAGGACACTGAGGGGCTGGAGCGTGTGCAGGGAAGGGAAGGGAGCTGGGAAGGGGCTGGAGCAGCAGGAGCAGCTGAGGGAGCTGGGGGGGCTCAGCCTGGAGCAAAGGAGGCTCGGGGGGACCTTCTGGCTCTGCAACCCCCTGACAGGAGGGGGGAGCTGGGGTGGGTCGGGCTCTGCTCCCAGGGAACAAGGGACAGGAGGAGAGGGAACGGCCTCCAGCTGTGCCAGGGGAGGGTCAGGTTGGATATTGGGGAAATTTCTTCCCTGAAACAGCCCTGGCACAGCTGCCCAGGGCAGGGGGGAGTCCCCATCCTGGAGGGATTTCAAAGCCCTG